ATTAGCAATGAAGTACAATATGTCCACTGGATCATTTTTTTAATATTTTTTAACAAAAGAAATAAAAGTAGAAATGTGATTGTTGGCACCTTTATTTTGATGTATGTTTATGTAATTACTGTGTTAAAATTATTAAACTAGTTCTTTTTTTTTGACAGAAGAATCTCATATTATTTCATTATTTTATATTTATTTGTCTCCATGTATAGGATCTTATCCTAGGTCAAATACTTAAATTTGACTTTTGGTTCAAGCCCTGTGTTTCATTTTCCTTGGACTTTTGTAATAGCTTTCTCCACTAATCTCTCTACCTTCGCTACCTTCTTTTTCAGATATTTCTACATATCACCTTCAGTACATTCTTCCTAAATCATTTAAAAAAAATATATATTATCCCCCTTCTAAAAAAACACTACCTGTACAATAAAATGCAGACCCTTTAACCTACTATAACTTAACTTGAGACTGCTACTTCTTAACTAATACACACAGACCCTCTACTGGCCAAATGGACCTCCTTACTCTCTGGTCACATTTTCTGCTCTTGCCTTCTCTAACCTTTGATTCCTGGTTTCCTTAATGTAGGATTCCTAATCCCAACTATTGTGTCTACCCTTTCTCTCCAGCTATGGAAATCCTTCTTATCTTTGAAGATTTTTTTTCAAGATTGATTTATTTATGCATACAAAAACGGGGGTGCAGGCCAGAGGTGCGAGGGGTGAGAGGATTCACCAGAGACAGAGGGGAACAGAACAGGTAGATTGACTAAAATACACTGCTGAAGGTAGCAGCGGGTGAGCCAGGAGAGGTCTGCTCTGCCATGTGGGTTGCTCCCTGCCCGGGGATCGAACTCGTGCTACAGTGGCTGCAGTAAGCTTCACAGGTTGCGTCTTAACCCCTTGTGCCACCAGGGAGGCCCTTATCTTTGAGATTTAACTTAAATTTTCCTTCTTCAGGGAAATTTTTAAAAAATCTGCAACTGGTATATCTAGGAGACAGCCTTGTATAGAAGAAAATAGATTGGGTTTTAAAGTCTCTTAGTTACATATTGTCGCATAACAAATCACCTCAAACTTGGTGTCCTGAAACAGCAAACCATTTATTTCTCTAGTTCTATGAGTAGGCGGGGCTGTTCTGCTGGTTCCTCTTGGAATTATTTATGTGATTTCATTTACCTGATAAGTCAGCTGGGAACTGAGCTTTTCTTGGAGATCTGGGCTTCTCTCTATGCAGTCTTTAATTCTCTAGGAAGCTAGACTGGATTTCTTCACATTTACTTGCAGGAAAACAATCAAAGAGGATAAATCCCATTGTAAAAACACCAAGCTTATTTGATTAAACAAGACACATAGCTAAGCTAAGTTCGGGATATCAGGAGGTGTGATTCATTGGTGGACATTAGTATACAATCTGTCACATCCCAGTGATTCACACTCCTTCCTTATGCAGAATATACTTACCACCTCCCAAGACCCAAAGTTCCATCTGTTTCATGGTGTCATGATCCTGTAATTTATGTAGGTCTGTTTGTGGATATGACTCCAGGAGTATAACCACTCTTACTCCAGGAAACTGGGAATTAAATAGGCCAATTTATTTTTCTATCCATAACTCCTCCCCTACTATACATCTAGCATACAATTTGTCAGTTAAGAACAAGATACCCACAGTAGTCAATTCCATTAAAAAGAAGGAGGAATGGGAGGAACATTGCAGCCACTGGCCCATAGTAATTCAGAAATTCATAGTAATTCAGAAATCCAGAAATTTAAGGCCTACTTCTGTTTACTGGAAGTGGTTCCCTAGTCCACTGTTCTTCATGGCTTTTGCTGTGCCCTCTGAGTTATTTTCACTTTTCAATAAGAAATTATTCTTACTTGTAGTTGAGTAGCTGTCTCAACTTGATTTCTTATCCATAGAAAGGAATTTGGGTCATAATCCCAAAAGACAAAATCCTGAATGCCATAATCCTGAATGTTGAAATCCCCAAAGATCAAAATTCCTTAATTCTAAAATCCCCAAAATCACAATGCTTAAAGATCAAAACTCTAAAAGTATAAATCTGGAAAAATATAATTTAAAAGGAAACCTTTAAAAACTTTTTTATGTTTTAAACCTTTAAAAACATTTATTTGAATATTGAGAAACATTTATAAAAACATGGCAGAAAACTTCATAAGTCACTTTATACAATAAAACACCTACTGGGAGAAATTTTGTCTTGCACAAATGCAGGTGGCTAAGAAGGACATCTCTTCATTCATTGAGGAAGTTTCAAGGGTTTTATGTACACACGCAATGCTTACACAAAGTCATTGTTGTGATAATGTACTTTCTCAAAGTCAAATTTGGAAAAAAAAAAACATAAAAAGTCAGAACTCTAAAATACTTTACATAATTTATACCTTCAGTATTGGAAATGATGTTTAGATGAAATGCATAGCAATAACAAATTTAAAAAAAAACTATAAAGAAAATTTGACACATGAATAGTATATTGCAGGGATAGATTATGGGTAGTGGAACAAAGGAACATGAGAGCTGAACTTACTTTGATGATCATTCTCTAGATTTTGAAATTTGGCATAGTGTAGAATAGCTGCTTTTTTTCTTTTAGGGTATAATTTCCTTCTGAGAATATGTTCACATTCTTTTTCTATGTGATGCTGCACCTTTTCAAATCCTTCTAAAATTCAGGGGCCTCCCTGGTGGCACAAGGGGTTAAGCACAGCACTGTGAAGCTATCCACAGCCTCTGCAGCACAAGTTCTGTCCCCGGCCGGCCAGGGACATGGCACATGCACATGGTACCCACATGGCACAGCAGACCTCTCCTGTCTCGTCCACGGCTCCCCTCAGCAGTGTATTTCAGTCATTCTGCCTGTTCTGCTCCCCACTCTGTTTCTGGTGAATCCTCTCACACCCCCACACCTCTGACCTGCACCCCAGCTCTTGTATGCATAAATAAATAAATCTTTTTTAAAAATCCTATAATTCAATACATGCAAATGTAAGCCTTCCCTGTTAAATGTTCCCATCTTCTGTGCCATGCTTCTGTGTTGGTTTGGGTATGAAGAAATCCATTCTGCATGTGCTCATATATAGACCACAAGTTTGGCAGAAACGATACTGGGTGATGAAACAGCAACACCGTTGTGTGTCTTCTTATCCTATGGTGTAAGTAATTATTTTTGAACTAGTCAGTAAATTCCTGGCTTCTTGAGGCAAATGCAGCTTTAATTCATTAAAAGCTCCTGGAATTTCATCAACTGGAAGGAATACTAATGCAGACAAATGACGCATTTTAAAACTGAATTTTTTGTCATTGCCTTATCATGCGCAGCTAAAGAACCCAGTTGACAATTTTAGCATTCTGCCTGGAAATGTCCTTATGCAGATCTGTAAGTTTATTAGGTATATTTTCTATCTTTCAGGTTACTACAAGCAACAGTTCTGCCAGTTGTTTCATTGCCTTGTTGTGTATTTTGTCCTTTCTCAATTTTCCAATTACAATTTTCTCCTTTTCCAGCTTCCACTGGGTTAGTCCCCACCACTCTAACTTAAAGCCATTGGCACATATTTTAAGCTTTTCTTGCAGCACCAATCCACTCCTAAATATACAGTTTCTGTGTCATATAGCTATTGCCAAATAGCAAACTACCCTAAAATTTAGTGACTTGAAACAGCCATTTTACTTCTTACCATTCTGGGTTTGACTGGGTGGTTCTTCTGCCTGGCAGTCACTCATGTGATTGATTTACTGGACAGATCTCATTGCATAAGCACTTATCAAATTTTGTTTGTATTGTGTTTGTCAATATGTTATTGTCTAATGCAAGTCACATTGTCAAACCTAGTGTTAGTGTGGAGGAGACCATACAGGAACAAGGAACCAAGAGGCACGACTCCCATGGCACCACTGGTACAGATACCAGCAGATTTCCCACTCTTTGTTACTGTGCGCTTTTGGCAGGTTATTGAATGCACGGAACAATTTTCTCCCCTATATAGAAGAAGTTATTAATACCCACCATAAGGTGTTTATGAGGTTTGAATTCTTTAGTAAGGGCCTCCCTGGTGGCACAACGGATTAAGTCACAGCAATATGAAGCTATCGGCAGCCACTGCAGCACGAGTTCCATTCCTGGCCAGGGAGGTAACCCACATGGTGCATCAGACTCTTCTGTCTCCCCCGCTGCTCCCCTCAGCAGTATATTTCAGTAGATCAGCCTATTCTGCTCCCTACTCTCTGGTGAATCCTCTCACCCCCCGCATCTCTGGCCTGCACCCCCAGCTCTTGTATGCATAAATAAATAAATCTTTAGAAAAATAAATTCTTTAGTAAATGTTGATGATTTATGAATATAAAATTAATAATTTTGTCATTATAGAAAATGTACAAACTATAGAAAAGGAAACATCTCATGAAATCCCACCTGATACAGTACTGTGTTATAATTTCTTCAAGAACTTTCTTTATCTTATTTAATATTGGTTCGTATTCTGAAAAGTAAGGTTCTTGAAGAAAGAGGCCACATTTTACTCATCTCTATAAATGCTATTGCTTTGCATTTAGGATCAAAAAGATAATGCATAAAATTACTGAGCAAAATGTTGTACACAGGTTATGTTCCACTTAATTTGGAGTTGTATTAGGGACTAGAAAAAATTCTTAGAAATCCTAAAGTTATAGAAGTGGGAAAGGTATACTGAGAGCAAAATAACTAAGAAGATCTGTAGAGGGGGCTAGCTTCTTTCTGGGGAATCCTGGTGACTCATGGAGAAGAGAGTGAGAATGTTATAAAGAAGGGAAGTGTCAAGATCTGCTTACAGATCCTAAACTACTCAGTAGAGAGGCCTCTATTACAAACACCATTAATGGGAATAATTTAAAAATAGAGAGACCTATCTATAAAGTATCTTATTGTTGAAAGCTGAAGTCTCACCATAGTGATCTGGTGCTATTCTTCACACTCAGACTAGTCTTACTTTTTGTTTTAGTCAAAGAAGTTTGGCAGAAATCACAGAACTTATCCATACAGCTCTCCTCGTACATCGTGGGATAGTAAACTTAAGTGAATTGCAATCTTCTGATGGACCACTGAAAGACATGCAGTTTGGAAATAAAATAGCTATCTTAAGTGGAGACTTTCTTCTAGCAAATGCCTGCAATGGACTAGCTCTGCTACAGAACACCAAGGTAAACCCGGGCATAGTTTGCTTATTTCTGGGTGACTTTTAGGTACTGTCTGTGGATTGCTGGAGCCAGTACAGTAAATTGTGATGATGATGATGAAGACAGTGTCAACACCTGGTAAAACTGGTAAATCCCAGGAAAGTCTTTAAAATGACTTTTTTTTCTGATAATAGGATAAATTATTTGTTAATTATAGGGTAGAGTTACATATTGATATAAAGATATGAGTAAATATGTATTCTTACTATCCAGAAATAACTACTATTAGTTAATATTTTGATGTATTTGGGTTTAGTCTTTTTTGTTCTTTTTTTTAATACTTACACATATGTGGATTTTTTGGTAGCATCGATGAAAAATATAAGGTTTTTTTTAATCCTGCTAGTTTTTCCTACTTCATATTATGATATAGCCTTTTCCCCATGTTATTAACACTTTTCATAAGCTTTTCTGTGTTTATGTAATACTTGATCATTTAGATGTTAATATCATTTACTTAAATAAATTGCTCTTTTGGAATTTAGGTTGCCTCTAAATTTTTATTATCATAAATCTGTAGTAAATATCCATACACATCAATTTTCCTCTCTCTAGATTATTTCTTTAAGATAAATACCTAAAAATTCAAAGGCTCTAAACACTTTTAGTATTCTTCATACATACTGTCAAGCTGCTTTCTAGAAAGATTCTAGAGACATTCTTGATGTTTTGGTTAGAATTAAGTTTGACTATAAAATATTGGTGGCAGGAGTATCTTTTGTGTGTGTTTACAGACATTCAGGACTAGGCAGTTCAAGGTTGGTATGATAATTTTACAATACCAGGAACCTAGTCTCCTGTCTACTGCTCTGACATTCCTATCTTAACACTTTGCAGCCCAAGATAGTTGCCATCATGTCCTCACCCCTTCAACAGAAAGGAAGGAGGCAGAAGGGCAGCAAAGAGCAGATTTCCTTCTCTTGAAGATCAGTGAGTGTATATCCTGGTTTGCTAATAACAATTTCCAGTGTTAAGTCTGCTATCCCAGAATCCCATCTGACTTATCATTTGTCCTGGAGTTTTCACTTTCTAATAGAGGATGTTTGGTAATAATTACATTAGAGTAAAACAGGATGGATTTTATAGATCTCCCATTTATACTTGCAATCTCTGCCTCATTTTTTGTGTACTGTAGGCTAATTGTACATGAGAAACATGTACAATGGGGATAGTTCTTATGTTATTAAATCTGAAAGACAAGCAATAAATCATCTCTTCTTCAACCTTTTGGGACACCCTCCAGTCAAGGACAGAATCCAGGGCAATTCCTGATACAACAAAGTGTGCTGAGTGTCTTGGGACAGTAAATTCCTGTTTCAGGTGGTGAGAGAAGTTTATACTGCTGCCCCAGCCAGCCACTTAGACTATCAACACATTGTTGTGTGGTCCCTGCCTGACCTTCAAAATTACAAAGTCACCAGGTATTAATCGAAAAGTTCACTGGGAAACCAAGTACATTGAAGGGTCAATGTCTTTGAAATATGGGAAATAAGTACATGCTTATATAATGAAACCTTTAACTATGTTATTGTTTGGCAACACTTTTTCTGGCAATAAAACTTTTGCAACAGTATGCTAAAAAAAAGTATATATAAAAACAGCATATATTTTGTTTTTTAAGTACTGAATTTTTGTTTCTTGAGAAAATGATAGGGATTATATAACTTTTATATAATACTGACATTTACTGACTTCACTGTGGAGACCACATTAGTATCATTGAGCACAGGAAAAAATTTAAATCTGCTGGAGAAGTGTCAGAATCTACTTCCAAAGTTAGTAGTTTCTTTTAAGAAACTGCCTGAATATGATGATTTAACATACAAAGCTTCTGAATTGTATATACGTAACCACCTTGAGTAGCTTAACTTTTATTTAGATAAATGACTGTTATTCTAAATTAATTTCACTCATTTTTTACTACAAATTTCTATGTGCACATAGGAAAAGAGAAGCAATAGCTTTATGGTTTTTTTTTTGCTCCATTGGCAGAATAACTTTGCAAACAGTTAAATAATACCAGTTTTTAGTGAGTGCCATCAGCTACTTCAGGTAATTAAACCACTCTAGTTGAGTCTAAAAATGTTTTATTTTTCCCATCCATTCATAGAATCGAGTTAAAGCTTTGGATGTGTAGTCCATCAGAGAAAAGCCACAATGAGTGAGGTTGGAGGTTCAGTTTAAAAGTTCAACATTGAAGATAAAATTCTTAGAATAATAAAACAAGTACAGTTTTGATGATGTACACAAAGTTGTGATAAAAACAATATTCTAACTACATTAAGAAACCTATAGAATAGTTGGAATTAGTTGTGGCACATCCATAATACATAATTGCATCAAACAATCATCAACATTCTACTAATTGAAATAGAAGCTCTGCTTATAAAAATTTACAAGTATCTTTATAGTCAGAATCACTGAACTACAAGATTTGGGGGATACAGCTGATGTTGAGTATAAAAATATATTTTAGTAGGACAGTGTGTTCATTTTCTTTTGGTTGCCTGTCTTCAATGAGATTTTAGAAATCTTTATATCCAAAAATGTTACTGAACTTTATTATACATGGACCATCAGAATGTTGGTGACATTTTGTTCAAAGTCAACTGGAAATCTTAAATCAAGTTTTCATCAAATGAAACTTTTAGGGAATTACAACTGATGAAAACAAAGCTTCCATTGCAGTTTTTCCCTACAAAAACAAGGAAGGAAATGAATAAAATAAATAATAAAAACTCAAATGCTATACAAGATTAAAATTTGCTATTCTATATTTATGACTTGGAATAGCTCACCTTATAGGAAGACTCTTGTGGTGATGTTCCTGTGTTGAATAAATTATGTATGTATGCAAACCAAATGAAATTGAGAAGGCCTAGATTTTGTAACATCTGATTTTGGCTAAACATTCAAAAGAATCATAGAATGATTTATTAGACAAATTTTGTGTTTCAAAAATATTGTCAAAAAAAAGGTCCTTTCTGAAGGAAGCAAAAAAGACAGTATCTTGAAAATATTTGGGCTGGAATAGTTATACTTTTCACTATGAAAAAAATCAGAATTCAAAATCTGCTCCGTGTAGCAAATTTGCTCTGAACTTAGGACCTTAGAACCTTTATAAGGAGCATTTTCTCAATTAAAACTATTATGGTCTCCCAGTAAAAATCAAATTGAAGGTTACAATAACATCAAATTAATCATGAAATACAACTGAAGAAAATTATGGGCAGTTTTTTTTAAATGCCATATTTTTAAAAATACATTCTTCATAAATATGCCAGTAACAGTATTAGAAACAAATATGGCTAAGAAACTAATTAAAGTCTGTGAATACATAGTAAGTGTAATTATTCTGCTGGTTATTTTTTTAATGCTCAAATAGTAAAGGTAAAGAAGTACTTTTTTATTTCAGTGTACATAGACATTATCTTATTTTTCATTTTTGAATAGTTTTTGACTATAATTACTAGAATCCAACAACATATAAAATCAGTTGTTAATAAAATACGTGTTGCACAAAATATAAAATCTAAATTATTTTAGCACTTCCTTTTCTCTCAAGTGTTCCAGTTTGGATGATAAATTATATAATGTTATCATTTTAAAGACATTTCTCAGAAGTAATTTGAGATCCTTATGCTTATATCCTATTTGTCAGAATTTAGTGATATAACCACACTTATCTACCTACCTGTAAGGGAAGCCATGGCCCAACCAAAAATCTGGAAGATGCAGAACATAGATAATGGGGAGAAAAGTAGCATTGTGCTTCCCATCACACTTTTGACCAGCACATATTTTAATGGAACAGCCAAACTGATTTCTAGGGAGAAAATAGTATGGTACTTTTAATATGTAGCTTACATACATGTGAAAGGAAAGCTAAAATAAAAAATGACTTGGCTATATAAAATGGAATAATAGTCTCAAATCTCCCTCCAGTGATTTATTATCATCTAGGCATTCTTTTTATTTTTATTCACCCTCAAATTGTTGTATTTTCTAAGTATAAATTTTACTCCGATGGGTTCCACTAAATTCTCTTCTTTATTGAAATTTGCGTGTTAGTGGATGAATGAGTAATTCATCACCACTCTCTGACTGTATTGTACACCTTCTCTCTTCACTATACCTGCTGTGGTCTGTGATGAAGTTTGGGCCTTAGAGAAGGGAGTCTCAGAAAGCTTAAGAAGTTTAAGTCTTGTCTGGTGCCTTGTGTTGCACATGACTAGTTCTAGCCAACAACTGGCCACTCAGGAATTATACCCACATATCTGAGTGGAGGATGTTATGGGCATTATTATTAAATGCACTCTTAAATGATTAGCCATCAGCATGACCCCTATGTTAAAAAAAAACAAACAAGGCTTACTGCCTTTAGACAAAGGCAATAATGATCAATTTTAACTTACTTTAAGGTAGTCTATAAAATCTTACATAAGTTTAAGTGGTGGTATTAAGCACAAATATAATCATGCTATAATGACAGACAAGTATTCATTTGCTTTAACTACTTCACTTCATGTGAATATTTAATGTTCTTTTTTCTTAGTTGGTTTGTATCATTCACACATTCTTTCTTTTAGTATTGTTCAAGTTCAGTGAAAATTGAGGCTTTACTCCCATCAAAATCAAATAAGATTCACAGTCTGTGAAATCCACTCTTGGTGTTTTGCATTCAGAAGCTTCACTATAAATGTTCCAATGTCTAAGACCTTCACCATCTGCTCCATTAGGCATTGGATTTCAGTAGCACTACTTGATTTACAAAAGGGGGGGAAACAAACCACCTTAGCATATCCAGGCAGCAGTTCAGCCTGAAACAACTTCTTGAAATAAGAATGATCAGGCATTTCCTTACCCTTCATTGAACCCTATAACTTTGTGGTCTCAGCACAGCTTTCCACCTTTAGATTTGCATTTTCTCAACATTTGTCTGATAAGGAATTGTTTTTCCTTTT